CACAAAATATCCATTTTCTTTTCATTGTGTGAAATGATCCCTAGGTAAAAGAAGCTTCACTACTGAAGCACCAGCAAAAACAGCTTCTGACAGCTGGTGTGTTTGCCAGCTTTTCAGGCAACCACCTCTTCCTTTAAGAGCAGTGTGATAAGTTGAAGTAAAAGGAGGCAAGAATGTTCTTTTCTGATTAGCCAGCAATTAATACGTGATCTATTCAACTTTTTCAAATATCAGTGTGTCTGAGAAGAGATCTATGCTTTTAATTTGTACATTCAGATTCATTTTTGAAACTGCAGAAGTTTAGAATGTCTATTTCTTTCATACATATTCATGAAGTGTCTACAAGGCCTGACAATAAGAATATGTGCAACACCAGAGATCAACATTTCGGATAATCTGACTTCAAACAGAACCAACTTTCCAGGGATTTAAGTCAAATATTTAACTTGTAGTGATTCACACATGCATATTTATTAGCTGGTCAATGCATCATTTGCATATGTGGGTGGGTATCATAGATAAAAGCATTGTGGACAGACATTCCCTAATCATCTCCAGTACAATACTTTTCAATAAAGTCAGCTCCGGCGTTCAACTGTCAGTCATCAAATCTAGACAAACAATCTGCATCTGCAGCTCAAATCACAATTTACTTAGCACTGTACTGTTTTAATTGGTTAAATTATTAGATGAAATAGTTTGAAACCTCAAATGAACACCAAAGAAAAATAACTATATTATTATGGTTCATCCCACAATCAGCCAGATGTTTAGACTGGATTTGGCACTTTTATCTACCTATCATTATTATTATTAAGCAGATATATACAGTATGGCTGCCCTACTCACAAACAGTGATTCTATGTAACGTGCAACATTAAGATCCAGTGTTTTTAAAAAATTCTTTGTTTAACACACACACCCTTATTTGTAAAATCTTCCTTGAAATAATAGATAAGGTCAGCTGTAGAATTCTTGAGAGAAAATTTCAAAAAGGTAGATGTAATTTATGCAGATTTCACTTATAAATTGGTCAGTTGGTTCAAGCTCACAAAATATATCATCTAAGGCTACAATACTATAGACGTTTGATTGGGAAGAAGATCAATTTAATTTTATGGTTGCTTGATCTGCAGGATATTATATTGTAAAAGCCTCAGTCCTAATCACTTTTGCTTGGCAGTACACTATTGAACAGAGTCTTTCTGTGAAATGTACAGATATTTAATCTGGTGACAACTCACAAACTTGCTACAGCCTTTTCCACATCTGTTTCCTCTAGGTCTATAGGACTCCAGTTTCCAGCATCCCCAACCAATTGTAGTTGTATCATACATCGAAGGATGTACTACATGGCATTCAGAGAAACTATCTCCCTCTCTCTCTCTCTCTCCTTCCCCACCCCCCTCTCTCTCTCTCTCTCTCTCTCACACACACACACACACACACACACACACACACACGTCAAACTAGGTTAAGTCATCATACTGTATAGTTATTTGGATTCAGCTCAAGGTGATAAGTGAACCAAAACATTGCAATCTACAAATCACAATGTATATTTTACTATGAGATCTGAACCTAAACATTATGTTTAGGCATGACCGAAATGTGAGACTGAGACTGAGTATAGTGCTAACCCAAACTGGTGTCAGCATTAAAAAGGAGAGGGCTTTTAAATTAAATGAGAATCCACATTACTTTTTAACTTCAGTCAATACGTTCCTGGTTCATTCAATCAACACTGTTAGTTCACCTCCATGTTGACTTGTGGGCTCCAAATAGTTTTAGATCTTTAAAGTCCAACTCCTTGGGACCTTCTAAGGTGGCACATAACAGCTGCCAAATCCCCACACCTTTCCTTCTCTGGACATTGTAGGGAGCTGGAAACCTGGGGTCCAAACAAAAACTCCTCTCCTCCCCTCCCCTCCCCTCCTCTCCTCTGCTCTCCTCTCTACACTGAGTACAAGTCTCTGAAGCAATAAGTACTCCTGGAATAGAGACCAATAAATACTTTCAGATCTTTCCCATTCTAGAGCAACTAGAGCCTAAGGAATTCAAGGAGCCGGTCCATGAGCACAAGGGAGCAACATTCCTTTACCCAGCCATGTGAGACAAGGTGGCTTGTCTCTAGCTCTATTTACAGCTCTTCTCCAATTGGTGGGTCCCTTTTCCCACCATGTACCCTCTTCCACCACTAAATGATGCAAAGTAGCCCCAAACAAGCCCCCTTCACCGGGAGAGGTTAATAAACCCTTGTTTGACTGACAGAGCCTCTGATTGGGTTTAAAGTTCGACTTTAGTAATCTCTTCAAGATCAGGGCAGGGCAATTTGCTCTCTTTAGCCAGACTCTCCAGATCACGGGGAGGGGGGGAGAGAGTGCGGTCCGAGAGGAAGGAAAGCAAGCAACTTCGGCTAGGGCCAGCGGATGGGCAAGCACGGTGAGGAGGATGGGCCTTGTATTTCGGAAGGGCCTCTCTTCTTTCACATACAGTGGCCTCCCTTTGACAGGTGGTCGTGAATTGCCAGCCCTCCCTCCGGGCTCGGAATCGAGATCCCGAACTGATGGCTTCCTTTGGAGCTCCGGGATTTCTTCCGTGGATTCTCTGGAAAAAACGGAATGGCCCCGGGACACTGTCCGAAGCGAGGGTTTCAGTGGTTCGACCTGTGGCGGAACAGGAGTTGAATACAAAACGAGATGGAAACGTGCTCGCACACGCACAAACACGGACCCACACGCGTGTCTTTGCTTTTCGAAGTCAACCTTACTCCTCTGGAGTCCGGAGATCAGGTGTCCGCTGGGTGTTCACCTTGAAGGCTGCAACTGGAGTTGAGCTATAATTGAGGTAAGTATGATCAGGAGGTTTGAGTCGAGGGGAGGGATTCTGACACGGAGCTCTTTCCTTTCAATGGTCTCTGATCACCTTAAAAAAATGATCGTCAGGGAGACAACATTCGAGAAGTTCTGGAAACCTTGGCTAGGATTTTCAGGAGTTCTGTAGATTATACTACCCAGCTCTAAATAATACGAACCGTTGCTAATAGTTCGACCCCCGTTTATTGGGTCCTTCACTTGAACAAAGCATTTTGCTCCTGAAATTAGAACCTTGTTGCTGGACTGCAATTTCCAACATTCTAGTAGCATAGTTAATGC